TTATTTTAATCTGAGAAGGATTTACTTCAATACCACGGTTAGAAATAAGAAAACCTAAAAATTTTCCCTAAAGCTACTCCAAATGCACATTTTTCAGGATTGAGTTTCATATTGAATTTTTGCAAAATTTGAAAAGTTATATTTAAATGAGAAATATGATCATTGGAATGCTGGGTTTTGACGAGCATGTCGTCTATATATACCTCCATAGTCTTACCTAAATGTTTTTGAAATATTTTTGTGACCAACCTTTGATACCAAAGGGCATAACTTTATAACAGTATGTCCCCCGGTCTGTGATGAAAGAAGTCTTTTCTTCATCACCGGGATGCATTTTAATTTGATTGTATCCCGAATATGCATCTAAAAAGCTTAAAAGCTCATGACCCGCAGTTGCATCAATCATTTGATCTACATGTGGTAAAGGAAAAGAGTCTTTTGGGCAGGCTTTGTTTAGATCAGTGTAGTCTACACAAACTCGCCACTTACCACTCTTCTTAGGTACGACCACCGTATTTGCTAGCCAATTGAGATATTTTACCTCGCGTATCGACCCAATTTTCGACAATTTTTGGACCTCATCTTGTATTACTTGATTCTTGAAAATACCTTGCTTCCTTTTCTTTTGCTTGATTGGAGTAAAGGATGGGTCCTCATTGAGTTTGTGTGTTATCACATGCGGTGGTATACCTGTCATGTCAGCATGTGACCAAGCAAAACAATCCATATTAGCTTTTAAGAATTCAATTATCATATCTCGCATTTCTGGATTTAGGTTGGCGCCCACGTAAACCTTTCATTCAGGCAAATGTTCAAATAACACCACAACTTCGAGCTCTTCTATCGTTGTTTTGATGTTCTCGTTTTCTTCGGGTTCTTGTATCACATCAGGCCTTGAATCTAAATCTGCCCGTCCTTGGTTAGCTGAGGTTTGAGTCATGGTATCCTCAGCTATTTTCTGTAATTGCTATTTTTCTTTATCTGCGGTGCTCGTGTTTGTTATGGCATAGATGCTCCTTGCTGCAAGTTGCTCCCCATGTATTTTGCAAATTCCCCATGGTGATGGGAATTTCATAACTTGATGCAAAGTCGATGGAACAACATTCATATCATGAATCCAGGGCCTCCCCATAATTATATTATATGCAATCTCCATTTCTACCACCTGAAATTTAGTTTTTTTCGTAACCCCTTCTGCAAACGTTGTTAGCGTCACCTCACATTTAGTTATTACACTTGAATTGTCGAAGCCACTCAAGGTGCGGGCTTTTGAAATCATTTTGTCTTCAATTTGCATTTCTCGTAACACTCTTAGGAGAATGATATTTGCGGAACTTCCTGGATCAATCAAAACTCGTTTCACATTAGTATCATGTACAAATAAGGATATTACCAGGGCATCATTGTGAGGGTTCATGACTCCTTCCATGTCTGCATCATCAAAAATTAGGCTTTCTTCCTCCAAGGTTTGCCGTACTCGTTTCCCATGAGTGATTGTCATTTTTGAAACCTTATTTACGGCTGTATATGTTACTCCATAAATGTTTTCACCTCCATTGATGACATTCACTATCTCTTGGGTGATGGTGGCTTTGGCGGCTCCTGCCTATTTTTCAGGCCTGCTTCCCCTTTTCACTAAATAAGTCAGTGAGATAATCTTGCTTTAATAAATGATCTACCTCACTTTGTAAAAATCTGCATTCTGATGTATTGTGCCAGTGGTCGTTGTGGAATTCACACCAATGGTTAGGATTGCACCTATTTGGATTTGACCGCATCTCCTTTGGCCATCACACCTTATCGCCCATGCTCTTTAGAACAGCTACGAGTTCGTAATCAGATACGTTGAAATTGTAGCCGGCAAACCGTGTCTGTGGAGTTTTGTCATCATTTCGTGGCTCCTGGTTGTGTCGATCTCCTCTGAATCTTGATGAAGATCCGGTTTCCCTGTTTTTTGGCCTTTGCTCGTATCGTTGATAACCTTGCTTTGGCCTTGAATCTCTACATGTAGGTCCCATATAAGGATCGTGTCTATTCTTACCTGATCTTTTATCATCTTCTGACCTTCGGGGCCCGCTCCTTTCTTCTCGTTGGTATTGAGGTACGGTATCTTCTTCAATTCTGAGCTTTGTACTGTACCTGTTATAGACATCATTCCAAGTAGTAGCGGGAAACTCACGAAGGCTTTCCTTAAGCCTTCTCGTGGCTTCTGAACTCTTGTCGTTCAAATTACTTGCGAAAGCTATTGCCGCCCAATTATCAGGTATGTGTGGTAAAGTCATTCTTTCCCGTTGGAATCTATCAACAAAATCTCTGAGCAGTTCAAAGTCCCCTTTCTTGATTTTGAAAATATCTTCCATTCTTTTCTCCACTTTTTGTGCTCCCGAATGTGCTTTTATAAAGGAATCTGCAAGCTCGGCAAAGGAATTTATAGAATTTTCAGGTAAGAGAGAATACCAGGTTAGTGCACCCTTGGTGAGCGTTTCTCCAAATTTTTTGACCAGCACCGATCCAATTTCTTGCTTGGTTAAATCGTTGCCTTTCACACCAGTTGTATATGCAGTCACATGATCACGTGGATCTGTTGTACCATCATACTTTGGGATATCGGGCATTTTAAACTTCTTAGGAATTGGTAGTGGGGCAGCAGATGATTTCCAAGGTTGTTGAGAGTACTTGTCTATATCTACTCCTTTGATTACAGGCGGAACTCCAGGAATTTGTTCAATGCGTTCACTTTGCTCTTTGAGCTGCTGCTGCAAGGTTAGTACTAAATTTTTCCAATGTCAAATAGTAGAATTACCTGGTTCATCTTCATGAGATTCACTTGGAACAGTTCCAGAATTAATTAATCCAAAACGAGGCTTCTCCTACGTTTTATTGTTTGAAGTTGATGTTGTAGTAGGTAAACGACTGAGTATTGCATCCAAAACTCTATCAACTCGTGCATCGATTATTTTGTTTAAGACTTCATTCCCCACGTCTATGTGTTCAGATTCATCATTAGGAGTTCTTACTTCATGAGATTCTCTTGGTGACTCATGAGGAGTTTGTTCATCAAGTGGTAGATTTCTCTCATCTTCGTTTAATTGATTGTTGAGAGTGTTACCGTCGTTATTTGACATGATGACAGTAATAGATTGAACGAATCAAAAGAAAAGATTATCAGATTCCCGGTAACGGAACCAATCTGTTTAACCAAAAAATAGTTCTTTGGCTAAAGCTTGAATTTAATACGAAATGATGGGTTACTGATAATCAAGAGACTAAAATAATAAGGCTTTCTGTAAATGATGATAGAATAAAAGAGAGAGTAATAATTCAATACAACTTTAGAAGTGTTATGTGAAAAATGATTTACTCATTCCTCGATGATCCTTCGACTAAGGCCAAGACAGCTATTTATAGAATCACAGATTGCCTTGAACCCTTAACCGTCTGAGGGCATAACGTTACCAGTAGTAATCTACAAAGGGGCCTTTTTACAAGGGGCCCATTATTAAACTATAAATAATTAGCACTAAGAAATAGTGCTTAGAGCATTATACCATGTTTCCTGCAGCTTTATCCTACGAAATAACCTACAAATGACGAAACCTTCTCCTTTTACAGCTCATAAGGAGTAACAGCTTGATTTCTTAATTTAAATGGGAATAACAACAGGCATTTAATGAGGTATCATACAATCATTGCTATTAAATACCAATTTACTGACGTATTTGGTATTTAATGCTATATTTGGACTGTTTTTTTACTACCAAACTCATGTCTTTTGAACCTTTACAAACCTTTGGTCTTAAATGCCTTATTTAGGTACGTGGTACCTATCTGAACTTCGTCTGTGCCTGTCTTGAACTCTTCTTCCCGTGTCTATCGTTGCTCGTACCTCTTATCCTTCTTCCACCTATTAAGCTTTTAATCGGTCCACGTTACATTTAATAAGAACTCAGTTTTTTCCCAATATAATATGATCTTTAATATTCATTATATATATAATGGTAGGCAATCCATGTTGCTAAAAAATAATACTCCCTCCGTTTCAATTTATGTGAACCTATTTCCTTTTTGGTCCGTGTCAAAAAGAATGATCTCTTTCCTTATTTGGAAATAATTTACCTTTATGCAATGATTTATAGCCACACAAAATATATGTGCCTCATTTTACACCACAAGTTCAAAAGTCTTCTCTCTTTTCTTAAACTCCGTGTCCAGTCAAATAGGTTCACATAAATTGAAACGGTTGGAGTATAATTCAAAAGATATTTTATAATTGGCATCAACGTATGTCACAAGTGGTTTTGTAAACCAATTAGGTGGCTTCTTGCATGAAGCCTAAAGGCCAAATGTTTCACACCTTAAACAAGTGGACATTTTCTTCCATGCAAATATTACAATCCAAAAACTCTTATAAATAGTAATATTTCAATCCAATCCAAAAACAAAGAAAAGCTCATCATTAGTTATCATTAGCCAAAGTTACTTTTCTTTTATCCTATCTTTCACTTCGTTTACTGCTCCCTCATTTCTTCTACTGATTCTTATTTGCTATTCCTATATCTTGATAAATAGAGGTAGTACTCTTGTTTAATCCGAAAAAAAACATTTCATATTATCTGAATAATTTCTTGAAATAGTGTCCAGCACGACTCAAGTCAATATATATATTCAGACATAAAGACAGAAGTTTTAACTGCCATACCCGAAAATATTTATGTCTAAACTTCATACATCTTTAAATAACCTCCTATTTGAGCACATGAAAAATTCACTTCACTCATCTCAATTTATACTATAAATACTTTCACCATACAAGCAGTAAATCTCACAAGTTTAATTATACAATGGTTGCTTTTTCAATCAGCTATTGTCACTTGGGAAATATTCAATCAATTATTTTTCTCCACAACAATAACTCTAAACTCACACTAAAACACACATATTCATATGCCAGTTCTACAGGAAGACAGAAAAATATGAGTCATTTGAAGATGAGTGCAGCAATGGATGATAGTACTTTCAGCAGTAGTAGTAGTACTACTAATACTGAACGCCCATTGGCAAATTTTCACTCAAGTGTATGGGGAGACTATTTCCTCTCCTACACTCCTCAACTCACGGTATGATACTACATACTCATATATATGCTTTATAATCTTTGTGTTCTTAAACTATTATTTTATGGAAAATTTTATGTTGAAGTTATTAATCTTTGAATCTTTCCAACCAACGAACCTTTTAACGTAATGAATACAATCAAACTTCTTTATAACAACCGGATTTTTTTTTTTGCTGTTATAGCAAAGTATTGTTATAGATAACATATATTATAACATAACATGAAAATTGGTTCCATAAAAAACTTAAATTTTATAATGAATGACTGTTATATAGCGATATTGTTATAGAGAGGTAGTCAAAAAATAACATAATGCTTAACTTTTGGTGCAGGAAATTAGTAGTCAAGAAAAAGTTGAATTTGAAGAGTTGAAAGAAAAAGCCAGGCAAATGTTAGTGGAAACACCTGATAATAGTACACAAAAACTTGAATTGATTGATATAATCCAACGATTGGGAGTTGCATATCATTTCGAAAATGAGATTCAAACATCCATTAAGAACATCTTTGATGCGTCCCAACAAAGTAAAAATGAAGATGACAACCTTTGTGTTGTTGCTCTTCGTTTTCGACTAACAAGACAACAAAGGCATTACATGTCTTCTGGTATCTTATTTCTTCTCTATCCTATGCAGCTAGCAATATTGTTAGTATATTTCTTTTCTTTTTTTAAAAAATTATTATTGTTCCTGGTTATTTCAATGGTGTATTTCAACTATAGCTTTCTCTGTCCAGTACATTGAAGTCACTTTTGTTAAGTCAAAATAAATAGTGGGAGTAGTATATAATATATTGACATTCATGTCGAGTCAAAACTCAAAAGTAAGATATTTGAAGTGTAGGAATTTTGACCTGTCTTGTACAAAACATTAATTAGCTGGTAAACTTTATTTATTTTATTATGTTTTCCAACATGTTACTCATGAGGGGTTCTGATTCTTTTTTCTTGGGTCACTAGTCACTCCCTTTAATCACTTTTTTGAGGGTGAAATTTAAAAATAGCCAGATTTAGTACTAGTCATTGAAAAATAGTCACGTTTCGAAAGTCATCGAAATATAGCCACTTTTTATGTAAAGATAAATTTGAGCGAAAACACTGTTCAAAACTCGGAAAATACGCCAGTATATTATACTGGAGTTCCAGCATAAGTATGCTTGAACTCCAGCATATTATACTGGAGTTCCAGGATAAGTATGCTAGAACTCCATCATATTATGATGAAGTTGCAGCATAAGTACACTAGAACTCCAGCATAATATAATGGAGTTCCAGCAGTATAATTGTCCAGTATAATATACTGGAGTTTAGAGTACGTGTGCTCCAGTCTCCCGTATATTTTACAGGAGTTGGCAAATTATACCGGTCCAGTAAAATATGCTGGAGTTCGTACAAAAATGCACTAGAACTCCCGTATATTATACGGGACCGGTCCT